CCAATATCCAAGGAATATATGAAAATATTCTCAAACTAGTACATAGCATAACCACTTCAGGCTGGCAAAAGTTGAAAGGACTGACAACCTCCTTTGCTGATAGGAATGTGGGGCCAAGGGGATTACCATACATGGTGAGGAGGTGAATTGCCTCAGCTATGGTTGAGATGCAACCTGATGCTATCTGTTAAAATTTAAAATGCATGTACACTTTAACTCACAAAAGCTTGTACACTTCTGGGCATCTGTTCCACGGAAGGGAAAGCACAAGCATATAGCATATGTGCAAGGACACTGATTGCAGCATTATTTTAGAGACACAACAGAGAAAAAAGTAGACGCAATGTGATTGTCCATCAATAGGGGAATGGTTGAATAAATCATGACACATTGCAACATAAAATGTTATGCATCCATTACAAAGAGTGTTATTGTTGAGAAAAAGCAAGGTCTGAAAATATATGTATGTTCCAATTTTTGCAAAACACTGACAAAACCTTTCTGTGTATATGTGTGTTATGAATATGTATGTGCATTTTGTGTAGTCATTTACTTATGAATACATGAGCATGTTGAGTAACATGAAAGCATGTGCAGTAGGTTTTAACATGAATTACTTTGTGTCTATGAGGAGATAGTGCAGATTGAGAGAGGAGTATATGTGAAGAGAAAAGCTAAACCAAAACAAAAATTGCGCTTAAAAAACCACTAGGTATTATATGATCACACATATTGAATTTATGTAAAATTATATGTGACTGTTTACATGTATAAATATTTAAAAAGAAAATAACAAACAGAATAAGGGAAGTGAGATTTACTGAGCCCATGGCCATTTCAATGCAGCCGACGTGTCTTGGTGCGGCCGTAAAGAATACAGTAATATGACATTGGAAATGGAAAATAATATAAGGCAGGACTGCCAAGCCCATTATGAGGGGGGATGGAGAGGGATACACTTTTGCCACCAGATAAATCAAAATGAGTTAAGTAAGCCCAAAGAACCAGCTCCTGCAGACCGTAAAAAGTCAACAGGGAATTACTAGTAGAAAAGTATGAAAATAGAAAATAGTAAAAACCATACCTTTGAAGCACATTTGTTAGAGGTCTGATCCAAGACTCTAGTTAAACTCCACAGCAGAAAGAAGCCCTGAAGAGAAGCAGAAGACTTGAACTATGTCTCACACTGGCTGATTTCTAAGGTACATTCATGCCCCAAAAGTCCATAACTGTAGAATGCAATGGGGATGAGCTAACATGTAGGATTCATACAATCATGGAATTTTGGAACTCGATGGGCCTTGGAGGATTGTCTAGTCCTGGGCCCAAAGGTTGTTTTTTGTGGTTGCTGTTTGAGATTTTATTTTTAAGTAATGTCTGCACTCAACGCGGGGCTCAAATTCATAACCCTGAGATCAAAAGTTGCATGTTCTACCAAATGAGCCAGCCAGGCACTCCCAAACATTTTTTTTAATGTACATTTTTTATTGCAGTAAAATGTATATAATATAAAATTCGCCATTCTAATAATTTAAAAAAAACTTTTTAACATTTATCTATTATTGAGAGACAGAAAGAGAGAGCATGAGCATGGGAGGGACAGAGAGAAGAGGAGACACAGAATCTGAAGCAGGCTCCAGGCTCTGAGCTGTCAGCACAGAGCCTGATGCAGGGCTCGAACTCACAAACTGCGAGATCATGACCTAAGCTGAAGTTTGGTGCTTAACCGACTGAGCCACCCAGGTGCTCCCCACCCCCATTCTAATCATTTTTAAGTGTATGGTTCAGTGGCATTAAGTGTATTCACATTGTTGTGCTAAGCCTTTTTTTTTTTTTTAATGGGCCCATTGGGGGAAACTGGACAAAAGTATACAGTACTTCTCTGTATTATCTTTGCAACTTCCTGTACATTTATACTTATTTCAAAATTTAAAGGTTTTATTTTTTCTATTCAGCCTTCTTTCCAGCTCCTGGCAATCACCATTCTCCCTTCTGTCTCTATGAGTTGGACTACTAAAGGGATCTCATATAAGTAGAATCATACCATTGTTTGTCCTTTTGTGTGAAGCTTATTTCACTGAGCATAATGTCTTCAGAGTTCACCTCTGTTGTAGCATGTATCAGAATTTTCTCCCTCTTTTTAAAAAACTTGAAGTGTAGTTGACTCACATTAGCCTCAGGCATACAATTTAGTGATGTGACAGCTCTATCCATTCTGCTATGCTCACCACGAGTATAACTGCTGTCACCGTACCACACTACTACAATACCGTTGCCTATATTCTCTATGCATTCTATTGTTGTTGTTTGTTTTTGTTTTAATGGCATGCCCATGTGAGCTTCAGTAGCTTCCTTGCAAGTGTCAGAGAGGCAGTGGGGGCAAAACTCCAGAGGTAGCTTCTCCTGCCCACCTTCACTCAGATCAGCGGCACCTTGTCTCTTTCGGTATTGTGCTTCTTCATGAAATTTCTGAAATTTCTTTTATTTTTTAAAATTTTTGTAAGTTTATTTATTTTGAGAGAGAGAGAGAGTGCACGCATGAGGGTGGAGGGGCAGAGACGGGGGCGGGGGTAGGAAGGGAGAGGATCCTAAGCAGGCTCCCTATCATCAGCCCAGAGCCAGAGGTGGGGCTTGAACTCATGAACCCTGAAATCATGACCTGAGCCCGAACCAAGAGTCAGAGTTTTAACTGAATGAGCCCTCCAGGCACCCTGAGATTTCTGAAATTTCATGTTAAAAAACAGTCCCACTAGGGGCGCCTGGGTGGCTCAGACAGTTAAGCATCTGACTTCAGCTCAGGGCATGATCTCGCAGTTCATGAGTTCGAGCCCTGCATCGGGCTCTATACCAACAGCTCAGAGCCTGGAGCCTGCTTCGGATTCTATGTCTCTCTCTCAATTGGCCCTTCCCCCCACTGGTGCTCTCTCTCTCTCTCTCTCTCTCTCAAAAATAAATAAACATTAAAATAATTTTTTAAAATTAAAGAAAACAGTCCTACTACAAAAAAATAGGTTTGAAAACTGACTCCCCTTTTTTATTTTACCGATAAGAGAGCTGAATTTAGTTTTTCCGAGGTTACTAGGCCAATAAATGGCAGAACTAGGACACAAATTCAGATCTGTTGACTCGTGGTCTGGTCTTCCCTACACTTTACCAGATTGTCTCCATTCAAATACAGAGATTTTTGTTTCTCTTCCTGGCTCTTACACCATATATTATAACCTAAAATGAACACCATCATACAGCGACACAGGTAATGTGTGTAGTATAGACATGGAAGAAAGCATGGTTGAAAACAAATCTAGAGACTCATAAACCTAGAATTTCAAATTCCAATGTCTTGCAAGTTTGTAACCTTGACCTGATAGGTGTATATGCATATGTCTTAGTCTCTTGAAAGAATAAGCAATGAAAGGTAACAAATCTGACCTGAGTCTCAGAGAAATTTAAAAGAAAAATAAATTCTGGCTTTTCAGTTCATTTGGCATATGTTTAATACATGTCTAGTAAGTGTTAGGAACTATGACAGACACAGGATGCAATGATGAGCCATACAGAACATGCCTTTGCTCTCATGAGCTCACTGGCTAGAAGTTTGAAATACACAGCTATTAATCCAATAATTAAACCAATGAATAGATATTCTAACTGAGTTTGAGGAGAGGAAGGGATGAACATGTATAACAGAGAATGACCTAAAAATGGTCAGAGAAAACTTCCCTGTAGAAGTCATGTTTGAAATGAATCCACAGGAGAAATAACAGTTAACTGGATGTGTTTGTGGAAAGCTATTTGTAAATAAAATCATAGTTTGATTTTTCTTTAGGGAGGCTTTATTGAAAAGATAACTATTGTAGAGGAGAGTGTTGTTTAGGTTCAACAAATATGTGCCCTTCTGAGTGCCACACTCCCCACACTCAACCACAGCAGACTTCACAAATCAATTACAGCCCCCTTTTCTGGTAAATCCCCATTCACCTTCTTACCAGAGATCCAGGCAGTCATTGCCAATCAGTCACATTTGGGGCTTGAAATGAAGTGTATTTGCCATCTTGGGTATAGTGAAAAAAGATCTCTGGTCTCAAATGTAGAAGTTCTGAGTTGTAACTACATGATTTTAATGATACAAGGGGACTGGCCAACATTTGGGCATTTTACCTCAGTCCCTTTAATGATTAATTTTATGTGTCACCTAGATTGTGCTAAGGGATGCCCATATAACTAGTAAAATATTATTTCTGGGTATGTCTGAGTATTTGTATTTGAGTTTGTAGACTGAGTAAAGAAGATAACCTTCATCAATGCATGTGGACATCATCCAAAACACCTAAAGCCTGAATAGAGCAAAAAGGCAGAGGAAGGTTGAATTTGTTCTCCCTGCTTGAGCTGAGACATCTGTCTCTTCTCCTGCCCTTGAACATAAGTGCTCCTGGCTCTCAGACTCAGACTGATATTACACCAGCAGTCCCCCAATTCTCAGGGGTTTGTACTCAACTTGAATTACATCACCAGCTTTCTTGGTTGTCTGACTTGCAGATACCAGACTGTGGGCCTTCTAAGCTTCCATAATCACATGAGCCAATCCTTGTAAAATACACACACACACACACACACACACACACACACACACACACACACAGTTTGTTCTATTTCTTTGAAGAACCATAAGTAATACAGTCCCCAAAGAAGACAACAGGTACTGCCTCCCCATCCTATAAACTATATGAGACAGTCTATAAGTTAAGGGAGGCCTCTTTGAGTTCCAACCCTCAATCTATGGATAGAAAAGTTAGCCAGAAAATATGTCCTTGGGCAGTACCAGAATTTGTCAATTTGCCTGGGGATTACAAAAATATTTTGCTGGGACTTGCAAAACTTAAACTAAAAAGAAGGTGAGTATCAAAGGCATGAAATTTCAAGCCAGAAGGGGTGATATTAAAATTTTGCAAAGATGTTAAATGCACATAACTTAAGATCTGTGGGCACTCCCTGTTCTTCAGGTCACAGAGCCATGGCAATGTTCTCTGAACAATAAAGAACTGATTATGCTACAAACTCTGGTTGAGTAGGAAAATGGATGCTTGCAAGAACTTCTGTTTATTTTGGGCTTGAAATTAAAATGCATATTAATACGTTTTTATAGTTTTTCTCCTAACCCCTACTTTCTATATGTGTTCCTGCCAACTGAAGTTTTTCCAATCATGATACTCCAGAAGCTGGCAAAGGATTACTGGATTTCAGAAGTTTTTTTCCTTTTAAAAACTTTTTATCTCGACACATGGTAATATCTTTAACACTGGCTGTCATACTGTTGGAAAAAATGTTTTGCATATCCCGTGCTCTGTTTAGAGCCACTCTGGTACCCTGCCATGTGTCATCAGCACAGTCCTAACGAGCAGGACCATGGGCTCTAGAGTGAACTGGTCCTCACTTTGTCTAGTGGAAGAGACACACACTTGATTCGGGATGAAATCTTTGTGCTTTTCACTTCTGGAATCTTATGATGGATAATTGGCATTATGCTAATAATAATGACTGTCTTTAGTATTTGATTATGTAACTTACCTGGCTACACATTCTTTGACTACAGTCTTTCATATCAATGCCAAATTGTATGAGAGCTACAGAGGAGATTTCAATTTAAGAAGCGGAAAGGATGCTAATCTTAATTCCACTATGTAAGTGTGTTGGCAAATGAATCTGAATGACACAAGTAACTCTGGATGTTGGCACCATTTCATTTACTCCAAAGAAAGATGAACGTTGTATCTTCTGTTTAACTATTGTCATTTTCATCTTCCTTTCCTCCTTCAGGCTCTCATTTAAGAGGTTTTAGAGGGGCGGACAGGCAAAAGTTAGATAGTGGTGCTCATCAGTGTTTAGGATGTGAACATAGTATCCCTTTGGATGTGTGTAGCAAGAGTGCCAACCACACAGAGGCAAAGCAGAGCCACTCCTGTGGCCTAAACTCTTAGGAAGCTGTGTTTGCGCATCTGTGTAGGGGGTGGGGGTGGGGGTGTCGGGATTTCTCTATGGTCTGATGGCTCCTGCTCCCTGATCCACCTGTCAGATGTTTGTCACTTTGTTGTTACTCCCCTACACTTTTCTCTTCTTTTTTGGTTCATTGTTATTTCCTTCTGGTGACTGTGGATCAAACTTTTGGAAAGCAAAACATGCACTCCCACGGTGTTCTCAGCTCCCTGAGGTAAAGTGTTGGAATGCAAGACTATTGCAGTTGAAACCCCAGACAGCCATGCACCTGCAAGGTGCAGCCCTCCAGAGTCCCCACAGACATCTTTTTATAAACTCCGCCCCCTTCCTTCATATTTTAAGTTTGGAATATATATAGGTGCCTGGGGAGGAGCAGCCACAGCCCATAGTTCCCCAGGTTCTACAGGAATCTGTTTTGCCCTCCTGCTGGGAGTACATGGTATCTCCAGGATAGTTTCTTTGGGTGGTTGGTAGGATTTGAGAATTTTAAAATCAATGATTTTAGAAAGTACAGCTTTAACCAGAATACAAAATGGTTTTAGTTTTTGAGTAATTTAGATAATATGCTGTTCTAATAGCCTATGATGTTCTAACAGCTTCTTGCTTCCAGATCTATTTATAAAACCAGCTGTATGACTTGAGGACACATTGCTTCCCTCTCTGAGCCTCAGACTCTACTATAAAATGAGAGACTTGAACCACATCAGTGGGTTTCACTCATGAGCTACCTTGGGGGGGGGGGGGGGTCAAAGGAAGCTTATACAACTCCACTATCCACCTAAGCAGCTCAGTTTTGTTTGTTTTATGTGTTGATACTCCATGTAAGATTTAAATTGGGAGAGGGAGAGAGGAAGAAGAGGGAGGAGGAGAAGGAGAAGAAGAAGGGGAGGGTGAGGGAAGGAGGAAGAGAAGGAAAAAGAAGAAAGAGAGAAAGCATTCTGTGGTTTAAGGTTGTTTGAGAAAACAATTGAACTACATGATTCTAAATATTTTTCCAGATCAGTTTTTTGATTCTAAGAACCTAGATTCATCCATGAGATGTAGGGGACTTGTAATGTTTGATTATTCAATTACAAAATGGCATATGTTAGCAAAGAGCTATGACAAAAGGCGAGAATGTAGCTTCTAAAGGGTGTCTGTCTTAATAGTTTGTTACAAATTGGTAAGGAGTCTGAGGTTAAATTAATAACTTGTCTTGTAGGGCTTTCTTTATATCCTTTAACTTTAGCTTTCTTCCTTGTCACTTTCTTGAGCCCCTAACCCTAACCCAAAGATTTCAGAGGAAATATGAAGGAACTCCAACCACATTAGGTCCTAAACCAGCAGGTGGAGGTACAAGGGTACCCAGGCTCTGAGAGGTGGTTTAGCTGAGAATCACTTGAAAGGGTGAAATCCCTCAAGACTCCTTCCTGCAAGCCTCTTTCCTAAAGTCTCCTTGCAATCTTGGATGACCCTCTAAATCCCCACACCCTGCCCTGCAGCGCATGCTAAGGTGTGGTACTCCGGCCCCAACCCCCAGTCACTGAATCATTACCAGACCCCTTACCTGACCCACACCTCCTGCCTTGTTCCTAGTCTTCCAACTCACCTGCCATCAACATTTCTATTTTCCTTCCCCATTACTCCTTTATCTTGCCCTAAAATGCTTTGCATGTTTTTGTCTCTCTCCCTTCACCTCTAATTATTACTATTTCTCTCTATCACAGAGAATGCAAAAGTGGACCTTTTCCCAACTTGACCCAACATTCAGGAACCCTCTGCCCATTTGCTAAGTGCATGAATACTGTCGCATCTCACTTCATATGAGCCTCACTGATGGGACTTGACAAATGTCTCCATGTCAGTATCCAGGCTGCCAATGATTTGGACCCAATTTATATCACAAACTGCATATAAATTAAAAGATCGATTGACAGGGATCCATGTCTTCAATTAACCTTGTAAAATTTTTATTTAACTAGTTAAGTTTGTGTGGCTTATGGGGTGATCAGTTTGCAATGTGTACAAATGTCATATCACTATGTTGTCCACTTGAAACTAATATACGATGGTATGTTAATTATACTTCAATAAAAAAAGATGGCAAAATGTAAAGTGGAAAAAAAGGTAATAATTAAATGATATTATCTACCTCAAAGGAGTTTTGTGAGAATGAAGTGAAATAATGCATTTAATACACCAAACACAATACCTAACACACTGCAGGTGGCCAATAAATAGTAGTAGCCATTATTATTTAGATTGTTGATTTTGCAGGAGATCCTATCCATTGCCTGCTCCAAATTCATTGTTTCCTTCATTCTTGCTGGCAGTGTTTCCATTTTATTTCTCTCTCTACTCCCACAATGCCAATGATAGAATTGTGTATAAAGAGAAAAAGCGTTCATGATAAGGAGAGATTTCTACCTTCTTGACACCCACTTCCCCTTTATCATTTCTGATCTCCTGGGTTGTCCTTTCTGCAGAGCTAAGCAGGCAGGTCTGGGCCCAAGCCCGCTAGATGCAAGTCTTCTGAAAGCTACTTGGTTACAGATGGGATATATACTTTGAGATTTCACAGAAAGTGTTGTTGCTTTATAATATTTAAGGAAAAGGAAGCCACATCTATAAACCAATAAGAAAAAATCCAACTTGTTCGTGGACTGATTTATAGGAATCTCTCCATTGTATTAATAAAACCATTGTTTTTAAAACTTCATGTTACCATCCAATCAGTACTTTGTGAAATTAATAGTAGGTCCAACAAGCAATTTTACAATATAATAAAATTGAACAGAAGATATTAGGTGTGGTTACACATAATAAGAAAAATTATTATTGTGTGAAAAGTTTGATGCAGTTAAATATATACAAAAATATGTGTACATGTATAAGGATGCAAAGTTAAACGTATTTCTTACTGTGGGTGGTGGGCAAAACATTTGAAAATTACTGATTGGTAACAATTGTACCTGGAAGTCAACTTGGGACCACGTATGGGCCTCCTCTTGGTCTTGGAAAAGTATCTGAAATGTCTGGGTAAATGTCCCCTTCTCAGAGAACTTACTGCTGCTTGGGAGCCAGGGTGAGTCTTTGGAATCATGAGTGAAGTCCTCTATATTTTCCAGTGAAATCCTCCCTATGACTTTGGTGACTTAAGGACTGGACAGAGGCCTCTCCCTCATGTGGGTAAATAGAGTAATTGCAGAAATAGCCAACCCTCCTTTAAAGATGAATAAGCCCACATGTATCTTCTTTCATTTCTATAAATGTGACTGTGCTATGAGTTTGCCTTCTCATGGTCTCAGAAGGGCCATCTGTTCTCCATCTTTCTCTAACCTGGACCATGTTACAGCTTCATTGGAAGATGATGACTTCAAGGAAACTCCTCTCATGTACGCTAATGGCTGGTATGGCTAAATTTGGTGAAAGAAAACCCAAGTAATCGTAAATATCTGACATATCTCTGCCGTGAGAGAAGTTTCACTGCCTCATAGCTAGCTTATACTGTCTCTTCAACCATCAGTCCTACACCCCCCCTTTTTTTTCTATGCCTTCATCCTTCCTTGTCTTCATAGACAGGCTAAAAATATATGTGTGCTTAAATTCATATATATAACTTCTGACCTAGGTACACTGATTACCCATCCCAGGTCCAATGGAGTCCACTGCCAAGTCCCTAATGGCATTCGGTCTCTGAAGATGATTTCCATCTGCCAATTCCAGGAAGCATATGGGAGTCTTCACAGGCTCCATACAGTAAACATTTAGAATATTTTATATGCCACAAAATCTAACATAGGTTTTACTTTGACTATTAGGTTTATCTATTTTCAGAACTTTACTGTTCAAGCTGCTCCAGTATTAAATCTTTTGGACCCAAACCATTGAATTCTGAGATATATACTAAGAATAGACTGATGCTTGCCATAAATGAAGGCCGACTGTAAAGCTTATAGCCTTCTGCAGCTATATTCAAAAATTCCTGCCTACTTTAGTTTTTGTGAATGTGTCTCAATAGAAGAAATGGCCAGGGACACCTGGCTGGCTCAACTGGCAGGACATGTGACTCTTGATCTCAGGTTGTGAGTTTGAACCCTATGTTGGGTGTAAAGGTTATGTTAAAATTTTTAAAAATATTTTTAAAAATATTTTTAAAAATAGAAGAAATGGAGACCAAGCCACTTACTGATCCAGACCACCAGGGAAAAATTCAGGAAACAACCAACAGGATGACTGTTATGGTTAATTGCTATAGGTGGTAAGACTTGATTTGCAGATCTTTGCAGGCAGCACCTACATAAGCTAGGATACATTTTAGATGCTTAATAATTGAGAATTGTTGGTATTTTTATTTACTTTGGTTATTGTCATCACCTCTGACCAGCCATACTTCATATATATACTTCTTACTATAAGAGGGAATTATGAGCATGAATGGTTCAGTACAAAATCTCATCCATTTAAGGAATAAATAGCTTGCTCAATCTGTGTGTTGTACTATTGGGTCATCGATGCCATCATTTTTAACTTTACAGGGTATATTACCTCAAGAAGGAATGGTGGGTGTTGTAAACAGGGCTCAGACATGTAAGCCCTTCCAGGTCCACCTTTGCCCCCAAAGTCCTGAGTGAGTTGGATTTTCTGGGGTACATTCAGGAAACTTACTGTGCCAGAGCACAGGCATGTATCTGAGTGAACTGATTGCATTTCAGCAGCTTCCCCTGGAGCCAAGTCTTCTCACAATTTTTTCAATAAAATATTCCGGCAATAGTCTTATTTCTCTCCTTCCCACATACTTATACTTCTTAAAAGAATGATTTCTACATTTACAACTTCTAGTTATTCAGCTCCTGTGTTAGTTAGGGCACAGGTTAGGTAAGCCACTGTGACAAAGAGATCCAAAAATACAGTGGCTTATATAATTTAGAACTTCTTTCTTGTCATGTAACATTCCAGAAGTAGGTAGTCCAGCTTACTATAAAGTAGCTGAGGTCCATTCCAGAGTGCAGGCTCCTTTTATCCTGTGGATCCACCATGCCTTAGGGGGATTGTCTTCATTTGAGTGATGACCCCAGGGATTTGATCTGTACAGCCATTAACTGAAATGGGAAGGTGGCAGAAGGAGCAGGTTTAGGGGACAGAGATGAGCTTGCTGTTAGTCATGTTAAGTTTGTACGTCCAGTGGACTATACCTAGGTAGTTGGATAAACAGATTGGGAGTTCAGAGGAGAGGTCCATGCTGGAGACATGACTTGAGCAATCATCAGTCAGGTATCTTGACAAAATTAACGAAGGAATGAGTATGTATAAAAAAAAAAAAAAGAGGCAAGGAGTCAGGACTGATCCCTGGGTCACTCAAAAATGTGGAGGTTGGGGAACATGAGGAGAATGAACCAGAGAATGAAAAGGGGCAAACAGTAAGATAGAAGAAAATCAACTTCTCAAAGCCAAGAGAAGAGTGTGTGTCAAGGGGGAGGGGACAATCAACTTGTCAGATGCTGCTTACGAGTCAAGTCAGGGGAGATACGAAGACTAGATTTAGCTTCAAGTGGCAAACAACATATCTGCAGAGTGGAGGTGAGACTGAGTGGCAAGATGGACTCTTGTTTTATTGATTCATTTATTTTTTCATTTGTTTACTCAAGAAATACTGAATCTATACAATGCATCCTACATTCACAACAAATGCCTTTAGGTAGATAATCGAAACAGATTATTCATAAATTAAGCCATGTGTCTTAGATTCAATCCTGTAAACAGTGCTGTTTCTCTCCAAAGGCCCCCTCTATTCTTTCCTCACAACAAATTCCCCCCATTTACTAGACACACCAGCTGCCTCAGTGACCCGCCTGTGGCAAAAACAGTCACCCTGTGAAAGGATAACCCTAAAGATGAGATACAACAGTCAGAGAAGACACAGATGATTAATGAAATCAGGCTGAGTGTGGAATAGGGAAAATTCACAAAACTCTGGAAGTAACTGGGCCACAATTAAAGTCCTCTCCAGTTTCACGGGTCAGAGATCGCCAAGAGGATTTCATTGCATTGAGTGCGCACAAGTATTCACTCCTGGTGATTCGCTTTGATGAAGTGGAACAATGACATAAATTAGTCAAACCAGCTTTGAAATCACTACACATGCTCATGTTTGTTTAAATGTTTGTTAAAATGAGCTCACTTATCTGAACACATTTCAGCATGGAGGGTAGGCCTGCAGCCAGGAGGGCTCCAGGGATATGTGACAATGCAGGACGTTAAAACCCACCAGGGAAAATCCACAAGGCAAAATCTAAAGAAGGGGGTGTACTCATCTAACTGGTAATAGACAGGCTTCTCTGAAGCAAACAGGTCACTGACTAAGGGGGCAGAAGCCTCTGGTTCTGATAAAAGCTGTCATTATATGTGTTACCTTGGGTACATGGGGTTTCCTTTCTGGACCTCCTGCAGTTAAATGAAGGAGTTGGACGAGATGACCTTTGAGATCTCTTACACCTCTTGCATTTCAAAACTAAAATCTCCCAAATGTGAAAAAAAGGTTCACTTTGTTGATAATTAGAAAGTGCCTTTTTAGTTACACTGTTAGTTTTGACCTGGATGCATGCATTACTAAAGGTGTCAATGATTTTATCCTTGTAAGAAGCCACATGCATACACAACTTCACAGATGTGGAGGCCTAATAGTTTGAGGGGGAGGTATTTGCTGCCTTTAACGTACATGCTCAGAAGGATTTGTCTCCAGTATGCTTGGTCAGGGCAAGACAATGGAATGGCTATTGCTAGGAATAAGCATTCTGTTACTGAGGAAAAAAAAATGACAGCA